TTGTAGCGCATTAAGCTGTAAAAATTTCAGTAAAGAAATAGTATCTAAGGCATAATCATATCAATAGGGAACGATATAAAATAAGATCAAAAAAAGGTTAACACAGATTACTTGCAAGATTTTCTATTTCATCAACCCCAAAGCCCTCCTCTTCCATTTCATGTTACCATCAGCCTGCAACTTTGCATGCTCTGTCTTGTACTAACTGATATCTAACCCTCAATATATACTAACCCTTCAGATCAATCAATCTCCATTTGGCGTTTGTGTCCAATTTTCTTTTTCATATTTCCTCTTATCTTCTCCAGTTTTTAGATACCATAGAGAATGGATATCTCTTTTACTGATTTTCTGGAGATCCTCAAAATTTATGAGGTTATGCTCATTCAATAATAAATCTAGGAATTCGACAAGACTTCTTTTATTTTGAGCGTTCGATAGATAAGAGGAAATATAGTTGGACATATTCGTCTTTTGATATTCCTAATATTAAAAAAGAGAGAAATGAGCAAAAAAATAAAACGCTCAGCAGTATAATAGCTACGCGAACGACTATATATATAGAGGCTTCACAGGTGATCACGCGCGTGATTCTCGAGAACGTTTTCACTCACTCATGAGACGTCTGACTATCGACGAGCTTTTTATAGGCCGCCAAGCGATCTCGCCTTGCCAGTTTACCTCTCAACCTGTTCGGGTTCTGCACTAGTCTTTTGCGTCTGCTAGAGAAGACGGAAAGGGGGAGTGTAAAACTTATTATACATACCGACGACGACATATTTATTTGAGCAGTGAGTGGCCGTCACTGATATTTCCTGTTGGTCTGCCAGCTCGGTGGTCGATACGCCAGAACGAGTTTCGCCGGAACTGAGGTCCGTTTTCGTGGCGGTTTAAACGTTGTTGTAGGTTTGGTGAGTGAGGTGCGGTGAGTGAGGTGAGTGAGGTGGAACACGATGAGAGCAGAATGAAAGTGATGCGAGCAGTGGGGAGAGCTTCTTTATAAGAATAAATTTACATGTATTACTATAAATGTAAATCATCCCGCATTTTACTTTCTCCCGGATCATTCCGTATCAAATAATAAATGGTATTATCATTGTTGTAATTACTTATTACTATTATGATGCAAAGAAACTATTAATGGCTATTACTTTCACCAGAATCGCAATAACGTGACCACCCGTATGACTTCCGTCTTTAATCAGTTCTGCAGTTATCAGCTTTGAAATCTTGTGTCGAGGAGGAATAGCGCTAAATTAGTTTATATTAAGGATAGTGTCATATATATTACATGATTTCATAAAGCCAGTTTGAGATGGATGGATTAAATATGAAGCATGAGTTGGAAACATGAAGCAAGAATTGTGGATAGTAGCTTAATATCAATATTGGATAAAATGTATAATGACGTAATAAACATCTTATCACAACAATAACTTCCAGTCACATTTGTCACGCAGCAAATTCTGTCCGCGTGACTGTAGTTGTAATAGCATGTTAATGATATCATTGTTAATCAATACAAAATATCCTTCCAAAAATTTCTAAATGTTTCTATGGCATGTGACTGTTTATATATTAATATTATTGTAATCTATCTTTTCCTGACCTGATAGAAAATTTTTATTACGAAATGTCCTTGTCTTATTTATAGAAACCAATTACGGCAATTGCAATACAATATTATGTTATTATCTCCTGACTGATATTATGCCATTATGCTTTTCTATTGACGTAAAGAC